AAGGTGATTGTTGGATCCCGTCGCCTGTGCTCCGGGACCACGGGGACCCGCCGGCCGACGTCGATCGAGGGTTTTCCTTTATTTTTGCGTTTGGGCAGCCCCCTTAGTCCACCACCCCCTCTTGGGAGGGCGAGGGTGAGAGAGAGGGCCACAGGGTTACGTGTGTTTGTGATGTGTCTTCGACACCGCAACCATGGCCCAACCTACTCAACAGCCCCGTTTTTCACTCGCTCGATCTCCGGGTACAGCGCCCCTGAGTGGCCCAGTGTGCTCTGGGTTTCCCAGCACCTGGTAGACCCTCGGAGCCCTGCCATGAGCCGTGGACACCAGATTGATACTCTCCAAGACGACCGCGGCTTGGCTGCCTGTCTCAGCGGCTCCAATGTCCTTCCGGAGTGGGCCGACGCCGTGATTCGTGCACATAAATGGGAGACCTTGGAGGACTTCATTTTCTCCGTGGACGAAAAGGACGTCACGGCGGCCATCCAGTCACTGCTGGCGCCTACAACCTTCAAGGAAAATCGGTTGGCACTGCAGGCTCGCCTGCGTGCGGCCTACTCAGCAGGGGCGGAGGCCATCAAGCAAGCAGCCCAGGCCACTAAGTCATCCGAGGGGGTGGATGACCCACTCCCGGAATCCACCATGGAGCAGCTCAATCGTGACTTCAGATCCAAGTATGGCTCTGCGAGCCCGGGTTTATAGAGAATTCAGAAAGAGGACTATGTCGGTGGTACCAGCCGCACGCATCAAGTCAGTCCTGCACCAGGCTACACCACGACAACAAGATGCGGTCAAATTAGGAGAAGGCATCCAGCTTGAATTCCACACGGAGGAGGCCCGCACTATTCGCACTGTGGTGGACTACTACTGGTCGCTCCGCACATTGGCCTATGCATGGGCGTGGGCAGGATTGCACCAACAGCGGGGGCATGATGGTAAGGAGACGGTATTTATCTCCCTTACCGCTGCCCTGAACTATGCTGACCACGCGCTCTCCAGTGCCATGGAATTCGGTCAGGGCTCCAGGTTGTGGTTGGAGCGCAACGACCTGTTGACACGCACCAAGATGGCCAGTTACATTCGTCAGGGTTACAACGCTTGGGAAGCACTTCAAGAGGCCCTGCGTGAGACTCACCTTGAATGGCGAGCCAGTGCCATTCAGGCCGTCCCCAATGAGCCTGCAGGCGCACCCAAGCGATCGGCCCCGGGTGCCAGTGAGACTGTGCCTGCGCCCAAACGACGCCAGATCAAGCAGGATTCGTACCAGACCATCTCCATGCTGAAAGGGGGCCTGAAGTTGTGCAAACCTTGGAATGATGGACGGGGTTGTGCGAACAAGAAGTGCCCACAGGTTCACAAGTGTGATGTCAAGCTGCCAACAGGCAAGCCGTGCCAGGGATCCCACACAAGGCTCGAGCATCCGAGCGAATAGGGACAACTCCCCCTGGCGGCCTGGGAGCTGCGGGGGGTATATCTATCAGAGGCACTTGGCTGGTGTTGGACCTTTGGTCTGGCATTGGGGGACTATGCATTGCACTGCTTGCTCTCAGGGGTTCACATCTATGCAATCAGCGCTGAGAGTGACCCGGTGGCTAGTGCCGCTGCACAGGCCGCAATGCCCAACCTGGTGCACATTGACTCGGTCGAGGCAATCAAGGGAGTGGACCTCCGCCAGTTCTTGCAACGGCGCCAGGTACGGGGTATCATCCTGGGTGGTGGCTCCCCGTGCCAAGGCAACTCCAGCTTGAATCGTGGCCGGCAAGGTCTTAATGACCCGAGATCCCAACAACCGAGCCAACTCCAACGCCTTCGGGAGGAGATTTTGGCCCTGCCGGAAGCTCACACTTGTGAAGTCATCACATTCCTGGAGAACGTCGCCAGTATGCCCCAGTCAGTCTGTGAGCAGTACTCTACATGGTTAGGCGGCCAGCCGGTGCTGATTGATGCGGCTGGGTGTTGTACTGGCTGGCATCCCGCACCGCAGGGTTGTCATCGCGGTGTCCCCCACCTTCAGACTGGGTCTGGCACCAAGGCTCGGGGAACCGCCACCCGACCCTACACACTGCGGCAAGAAGCCTATTCCTGCTCAGGTATGGTGGGATGACCATTTCCGGCCGATGATGGACCCCAAGCAAGTGATGCAAGCACAAGGCTCTGGTGCGATGCACCCTTTCACTCGCGAGTTCTTCCATCCCACGGATCGGCTGGCACAGGTGACACCAGCAGCGGCGGCACGGTTCCATCAGGACAATCGTCGCTTCCCACCGGCAGCCTATGAGGAGAATTCGCTGTTGTGGTCGGGTGCCCACTGGAGGCAGCTTTCCCCAGATGAGCGATCCCAACTGATGGGTGTGCCTGTGGCAGCCACCCATGCAGTCCAGGGCTCACAAGACCAGCGAACGAAGCTCCGAAACTCTTTGCTCGGCAATGGCTTCCATATTCCAAGTGTCATGGCGCTCTTGTGCAGCCTTCCATCCATCATGGAGGCCAAGCTGACAAAGCAGACCTTCGATGTGGAAGAGTTAGACCTTGCTGAACGCCTTTGCCATACGGTATGGATGCCGGGTAGGTTGGCGACCATGCCGGGTATCCTCACTGCAGGTGAAGTGTGTGCAGAGTTACAAGCCACCTTTCCTTTTCTCCCATCTCGTGAGGCAGTCTGGCCAGAGGTGTCCCGGAAGTTGGCAGCATGCGAGTTGTCCACGCTACAAGCTTACCCGATGTGGCGCCGCCTCCGGCAAGAGTCATGGTCCATCTTGGGCCCTACACCGGTTTGGGGCCGAGAACGCACAGCCATCTACGCTGGTCTCACGGGCCAAAGATACGCCAGCAATGCGGCAAAAGGACTTGATCACCTTCTCCCTCCGGGCATGGGCAAGCATGAGCATATTGCAGCTGCCTTGGAACTGCCCTCACCGTTTGCCCCCCGCCCCTGGCCTGAGCCAGACATGACCTTCGTCATCCAGGCTGTGGCAACCTGGAGACAAGCTCTCCCTCGCTGGGCAGAGAAGCTGCGCCATGTCCTTTCCACGGTGGCGCGGGCGGTGACCCCCCTGGAAGACGCACTGAACCCCTTCCGATGCCAGAGTGCTCGGAAAGTGGCGATGGGAAAAAGACCAGCCTTTGTGGCCACCATGGTTGCCTTGTTGCGATGGCCGGACGGACGATCGCCTCCTTCGTGCAAGCCCCCCGGAGCATGTCCAAGACATCCTGGACCTGACTAACGAAGAGATTGAAAAAGAGTTTTGCTCTCCTTTGCGCGCAGCACGGGAAATGGATGATCTGTTCGGTGTTGGGGGGTGGAGGTTCGTGGAACGTTTCCTCATCATCCAACCGGATGGGAAGAAACGGGCCATTGACAACGCTCGGAAAAGTGGTCATAATGCCCATACAACAATGCACGAAACGATCTCAACTGTCAATGTTGACTTCTGTGCTTCAGTAGCCCGTATGTTGCATTCTGAAATGCTCTTTCCGGTCGGTTCACCTCCCGAGTGGCTTGACATCCGTCTGGGTACGGATGATCTTCCTGACGCTTACCGGGGCCTGCCCGTCGCTGACTCCCATCTTCCATTCTCTAATGTTGCGATTTTCGTTCCTTCATTGGGCTGGAGATTCACATGTATGTGGGGTCTTGCTTACGGTCTAGAGAGCGCGGTGGTGAATTTCAATCGCTTCCCGCAACTTGGTATTGCCATCACCCGTAGATGTCTTTTAGGGTGCTCAGCTGCATACTTTGACGACGAACTATCGGTGGAGTGCGTTCGCGATAGCGATGTCTCCCAACGGAGCCTCCAGCTGGTTTTTAGACTGTTGGGAGCACCGCCTCAGAGTTCCAAAAGTTTTGCGCCGGCTCCCAATAGACATTATCTCGGGACCTCAGTCCACGTAGGAGACTTTGGCTGGTTAGGAGTCATTAGATTCCAACCAAAGACCTCCACTACAAGGAAGGTCCAAGCCAAGCTCCACGAGGCTATAGCCACCCGACACCAGATGATGCGGGGAAGCTTCGTGGCGACCTCAACTGGCTATTCAGCATGTGCGCAGGACACGCTGGCCGCTTCGCAGGGCCAGTGTTGGCCGCCAAACAGCGTGCTGCCACTTCTGAATTAGCAGACTCCGAGGTCACTACTTTACACCTCCTCAGCATCATGCTTCAAGAAGCCAGGCCCCGGGATATTGAGGTGTGCTCAGCCACCAAATCCCCCCTGGTGATCTATTCTGATGCATCTTTTGAAAATGGCACCTTGCGGGTGGGATGGGTACTCATGACATCGCCTCCTTTGGGAGTGTCATGCCTGGTACCATCCGAGGTGACTGATTCATGGATTGAACGTCACCAACAGATCTACCCCGGCGAAACACTTTGTGGACTCCTCGTACCGTGGGTCCATGGTGATCTCCTTGCCGGTCGTGATCTCCTCTGGTTCGTTGATAATGAGGCTGCTGTTTCCTCATTAATTAAAGGTTCCAGTGGACAAGAAGATGTTCATGCCATTGTCCAGTTAGCTCATTTGATTTTCCAGAAACGTCAGATTCGACCCTGGATCGAATGGATCGACTCCGCCAGTAACCCTTCTGATGGTTTGTCCAGGTTGGGTATTGAGGACGAATGGACCCGTACCCAACCATGGCGACTGTGCGAACTGTCTTTCCCAGTCGAACTACGTTTTGTTTCTCGGCCTACGGACCTTCAACCTTTCCTCTCCTATTTGAACAGTGGGTGATATTTTTTGACAGTGGGTGATCAGGTATGTTCATCAAAGATGACATAAAAAGCTAGTCTGT